AAATAATTATTTTCAATTCAACCTCACTCAATCAGTTTTTACGAGAAGCGTGTTTAAGTCATTACAAACTTCATTTAATTCAATTCGAAACAAAAGATGTCAATAACGGTCAAACGATCGTTGTTACCACATCCAATTGCACGAAGGCTGGCAAACCGACTAACACCGTTTCCGCAGCACTAATAATCGAGCTATGGAGACGTTTTGAATGGTGAAAATCGGCTTCCATGTAAACGTCTCCAGTGTCAACGGCTGAAGTAAAAAATGGGTACAAGGGTATTTCGCGCATATTTGGAAAAGAATTGTTAAATTTGCTATGCTTACCTCCGACTCTGATGCTGGAAAAAATTCATGCACATTTCCGTGACAGTCTAAACAAAACGAGGAAATCGGTTGAGTTTTCAGTGCATTAGGGATGTGCATTGAGGCTATACGTGAAACAAGCTAATCGCGTGTGTTCGCTAGTACCTCTACTGATATCCGAGTTTGTTAGTGTGCCGATCACGCGAAGAGATCTTACCTGCTAGGAGAAGCCTCTCATTTAATACAACTGGTGATCCGATCTCGGGTAGGCCTTTTTTAAGTGCGTGAAGTTGAGTCCACTGACCGGGATTGCTGTCATCAGCAGGAAGTCGAAGGCACTCAATACGATTGTCCCTGTCAGCTACAACGACGCGACCGCGGAAGTTGGCGACACCAGGAAAAGATCGACGTTTCAACATTGGAGCAAGTTGGCGCCACGACCAGTTCTCGACGCCGTTGTCTTCCGTGCTGCAGGAGAGCAGTTCTGCGGTGTCTAAGGTGCCTCTACCATAGATGTAGCCGCCAACCACGACGACGCCCACGCCAGGGACGCCCACGGCACCACTATTCTCCCGTCGGGTGGGCATATCTGGCAATGAAGTCCACCTTAAGTAGGCAAAAACAACGCCATCATCTCCCAAATGCCACCTCAGTCCTCTAATCATCTCTGACAGGGCAAGATGAACATGTAGCCAGACTTTCAACAATCTTTTACCTCATTGCGGTTTATGTGTGACGAATTCTCATTTTCCATTGTTGATATTTCCGGTTTTCAAAATGCATGATTTACCTGCCAAATGTGCGAGTGCATTTAATACTGAGAGTCATTAGTATTTACGTAAAATGACCATACTCGTGCTTGTGGTAACACAAACTTGCCTGTTCGTTGCAGGGTCGAATTTCTCGCAAGACGATATTTGGGTATCACCATCGTGTCCTCCAAATACGAAGAGCTGTTGACCCTTGACAGCATCATCAGCTGCAGCAGAACACGAACGACGTGCCTGTACCATCGGCGTTGAACTGGAAACGCTACCGTCAAAGGGGTCCACACGGTCAACCAGCCTAGACACTTCTCTTTTCTCATTCCTGCCACCGATCATGTAAATGCTGTCTGAGAAGGAAACGAAACACCACCGTACACAACTCCAATGCAACGCTTCCACAGGATGTACACCACAGTGTCGGTGGGTGTGAACTCACCATTCAACACGACAACTGCGCATCCCCTACGTGACGGTAAAGTGTGTCGAAAATTCACGTCTACAGTCGGAAGTACTTCGTCAGCACTGGCAATGATCTTTTTCTCAATTTCCTTCCACTTGGATGTGGCGAATGTCACTTCATTACAAATGAATAGCACGTAGGGAGGATGGTTCATTAAAGCGATTAGGTAGTCCTGAAATGGTCTTCTGTATTAAGAAACAATGCAACGAAAGCCATCTCAGTTGGAAATCAGTGCTCAATGTTCAAACACAATTCGCCAGAGCGAATCTTTTAGCAACATCAAACTTACATCCTTCTCGCTTCCTTCCAGGCATTGCTGATTAGATCTCTGTAAGGGTGAAAAAAAAGCACAACAATGCTGCCAAGCGCAGATGACAAGTGCTTGAAATTTCTAAAGCAAAACTGTGCCTGAATTCTCTTTGCAGGTTTATCCAGCAGTCTGACATGCAGAACTCGGCGAAATCGCCTGAGGTGATCTTTCTAAGAGCAACAGCTCCAACGAGGTCCTTGAATGTGGCATCACGACTATCATCATCTTTGTCCACGAACGCCGTCACATTCTCCTTGTTCGCAGTGCTGTTACCCTCGAACCACTTTGCAATCGTTCTCAACTTCGCGGCCTCCGCCACACCAACTAGTCGATCATCGCCCAGCAAAGACGACAGACTGTCTAGTTCTGTGGTAGAATGAAAAGTCACCTGTGTGGTGATGCTGTCAAAGTGGGCAGCGATAACTGGCACGCAAATGTCTATCATCTGCGTGTTCTTGGTTGCATTCGCAACCGACCAAATTTGCTCCACATTCTCTTTGGAAACCCTACAACCGGTTAAGAAGAAGAAGGCGTTTTAGTCAATTATCGGTAGGATAAACCAATGAAATGATATTTTCGGTACCCTGCCTCTCATGTGGCGCTCATTTTCCTCTTTCTTCGACGGCGTCCACCTATTTTTATTGGCCAACCTTCACGTCAAGTTTATTAAGATGGAAAATATGCCACAAAATGCACTTGAATAAAATGTTTTCTGATTAAGTTATTATTGGAATCAAATCAAGCAACAAACCTGGGTCGAAGGAATTCAGCGCACCAGGAGGTGATTGTGCGCGAACCCAGGTTACTCGCCAGCAGGAAAAGCCGCACAGCGTTGTCCATGGAGATTTCGATGCTGCCGGTGTACGCGAACACCACCACTGCCTCCACAATGCTGCAACACACACACACTCTATCGAATGCAATACTGCAACTTACTCTGTCATATCGTCGCCATCTCAGCCTGCCTCCCACACAGTTAGTCACTGCCTGCTCCAAATGCGGAAATCGCGACGCCAGCACAACACGGTGTGCCGCCACCTCGTGCCCATCTTTGGTCTAATTTCACTCTAGCACTCTACTTCAGGTGCATTTACCTTTATTTTCACATCTGAAAACTTGCCAAGTCTTTGCAATCTGGCGAAGGGCGCGCATTCCATGTGGCCATTCGGCTGCTCAGAGTAGGTCGATTTGACAGCAAGCTCCATGTGACGCTAGGACAAAAGTACAGAAGGGAATCTTCAATGTGAATTTGTAAACTAAACCCGTCTGCAGAAAGCACTGGCAGCCAAGTTGATGCAGTGCGCGCTACAACCAAATCACCCACGTTCGAACGTGCGTGTCTGTGTAAATACGTGGCTGACGCGATTTGGCTTCGCATTCCTCTCATGTGGTCGTTAGTGGGCTAGACAGGCGCCTTCACACACTCGTCGGCACGCTCTCGTCCAATGGGCTTGGGGCATCGTGGACGCCCACGAGACGTGACGCTGCAGCTGCCTCATGGTTCTGAAAAGCGTGAGCGTATATGTGTCTGGTGCATTGAAGTGGAAATCGACTGTTCGAATTTGCCGAAATCGATATAGCAAATAATTAATTGTTATTTTTACATAGTGGTAACAACGACAAAACCCGGCAATGAGCCATCTTGGGGGAATCCTGGAGCCCCAGCAACTACTCATTAATTCTCAAGGACATTATTAATCATAGATACACGAAACTGCAGATGCTAATTAAAACAATACTTTGACTGCTTGCATAAATCTGCATTTATCTCAGTAGAGTATATTCAGACCAGCCTACTAGAGTCTCCTTGAAATGCCATCAGAACTTGTATTGCCAAGAGCGAATTATCGCGTTTCGGCCAACAGGCCTGTGCTTTACAATAGTACAAACGTGTTTTATGATGTCAATGACCGATGGACTGTCTAATTATAGGTAGTTCGACTACCATATAAAGAAATCAGGTTGAAAACTCTTCTAGGACACCGCAAATCGTGCTCACAATACTTACGACCTACCTTTCAGTGAACCCTATTAAAAGTTTCGTCCATTCCATTCCTTGAGGAGGACAGCAGTAGTGAGTCCATGTGACTCACGTCCAATAATCAGTTATCGAAGCTTCCACCACAAGCCGCCCATTTTCAGGGCGAGCCCGTCAGTCACGTGAGGCCGTCGGTTTATCAACCCCTCTGCTGCATATACCGCCACTTGCATGTGCCACCCACTTTAGTCATGTGACTTCACAGACGCCTGTGTTTATTCTTTTTACAAGTCCACTCAACTGCATCAGTAGACACATGCACAACTTGGTTGAGCTCTCTAGTAAACGTTTGTGCCTACCATCTCTGGACTTATCTTCTTCCCGGGTTATTTCGTGTGGTAAAGAGCTTCAGAAGGTTACGTTATTGAAACCAGCTAATTAGCTGACAAGGTTTTCTGAAAGATGTTCGCTATGTACGTAGTGTGGATCGGCACCTGTTAAATCTGCATCCTTTTTCTCATCTTGACTCTAATATCACGTTAAACCTGCCATCGTGTCACTACTTAATTTCTACTGAGCATTAATCTGTCAAGGTCACCCATGCGTGATATATCCCCGTGTAAATAGGCAGGACTAGTGCCTGATTTTGGATGAACCTTTGATCAATTTGGAAAGTCAGCAAACACAGCACCTTACCTGAAAGCAGCAGCAGCAGCACTAAACGTAATTTTCCACCACAGGCTGTCAGTTGCTCATTAAATCGCCTTGGGTGGAGCAAGGCGCCATCACCTAAGTAAAGACATGTTCTCGCTGATGTAGACTAAGTACAAGAAACCAATGACATTTCATGATTAGCCCAGTCGATCCTTTATTGCTGTACATGTTCTAATTAGTGGTGGTGTTCGCGCACACCGACAGCATCGAAATCTCCATGAACAACGCTATGCGGCTTCATCTGCTGGCGGGTAACCTGGGTTCTCGCACAATCACCTCCTGGTGCGCTGAATTCCTTCGAACCAGGTTCGATGCTTGCTTTGATACTAATAATAATAATAATTTATTCCTAAAACCTTTTACGAAGGTGCATTTTGTGGCGCATATTCCATCTTGATAAAATTGACGTGAAGTAGGCCAATAAATGTAGTCGGACGCCGTCGAATATAGAGGAAAATGAGCGCCACATGAGAAACAGGGTACCGAAAATGCCATTTCATTTG